TTCTCCTAAACCGGGTCCAACGAGTTCCGAAAAACGCAAAACTGTGGATCATTTTGGATAACATTGATGATATTGACCGGAAAATTTTTAGAACAGCACTTGAAGATGTCATATGTGGTCTTTGTTTGCCGACAGGAAACATAAAATTCATCTGCACATCGAGAAGCTGGACACTTGACCCAAAGAGCATATCCAAGAAAGTGTTAGACCTGAAGCCAATATCACTTGAGTGCGCCGTTTCATGGCTCCTCAAAAACACCCAAAACAAAGATGAAAGTCTTTTGAAAGAAGTGGCGAAAGCTTCAAACGGAGTTCCACTCATCATGAAACTTTACTCCTCGCGTCTCACCTCTAAAAACCGGAAACCTTTTGAAGTGGGCGAGATTCCAAAGTTTAGAGAAAGCAGAGATTACCATGATGAAATGGACAGTGTTTTAGGATGGTCGTTTGAAGCGCTGAATCAAGAATCTGGTTTGATTCTTGTTATGCAATGTACAAGCCTGTTTCCCAAATATATCAACGAATCAGCTTTGAAATCCATGTTTAATTTTCTTGGTAAACTAGAAACGTATGAAGGGTGGATGATTGAACGATGTGCCGACTTGAGTTTGATTGAGTACAATTTTAATATCCAGAAATATCATCTCCATCCCTACATACAAGAGTACGTCCTGAAAACTTATTCTGAAGCCTGTGAAAAACTAAAATACACTTTTTTTGTCGTGTATTACTCGAGACTAATGCAAAACGCACAAGATCAACTTCGAAAAGATAACTTCGACACTGCAGTCCAACAATTGTTTGACGATATAGAAAATTACCAGAAATTTTTGAAACTTAAATTTGATGTGTCAAATAAAGAGTTGGAAATTTCAGCGGAACATTTTAGCGAAGAAGCACTTTCAGAATATTGGCTGCTAGCTTCGTTTTGGTACCTGGAAAAAATAAAACAAACAAAAATATATATTCTTGACTTTGCAAAATTTTTGGAAAATATATTTCTTCGAGTCAAGTTATACTCTCATGTCATCATATGCAAATGTTTTATTTCACACCAAGTCAGGTTGATGGACAAATATGCGAGCCAAGCTTCGGAAATACTGGAGGAGGCCTCGACATTGTCTAGCAATCTTTCGGTATCAATATTTTGTTTGTCATATTTGCAATACTCGAAGGGGCGTTTGGTCCGACAAATGGTTAGAGACCCTGGTTTCAAATGGGAGCAAAAATTCGAGTGGGAAAACGTAGCTCACGTCAATTTTTGCGACGCAGCTCTTAAACTACTCAACCAATGGCGGTCGGATGTTACGAGCCAAACAAAGAGCTGCGTACAATTAGAAAAAATTGAGCGCATAGTCAAAATTGAAGAAATTGAAATTCTTTCCAGCCGATTAATAGACGATCTGGATAAAGCCATGCAAGAAAAAAATGAGCCTCAGTTGCACGAAGTAATTAAAAACGGTCAACAAAATGTCAATGACTTGGAAAATATTTTAGGAAAACATGGAGAGACAACATACTCGTTTAAAAAATTAGCGGATATTTTACGATGTACGGAAAATGAGAAAGACAAAGCTGCTTCGCTGTATGAAAGGTTGGCTCTTTTTCGTCCACCTTTATATAATAAAAAAAAATCCAAAAAAAGTCAAGTTTAAAAACTTAAAACAACAGGCGACAATCCGTAACAGGCGACAATTCGTAACAAAAGATTAAGCGGCGAACACTGATTTACGCGCAGTATTCCACTCGTGCCGTATGTAAGCGCAGCGGAGCGAAGTGGAGCAAATTAATCTACTTGCCAATGACTTATGTTATGAACTGTCGCTAACAGGAAGTATTCAAATACCACTGGTATACTATAGAATAACTAAAGACAATTGTTAAAATGATAAAATGGAAGGTATTGAATTGAAACTGTCTTTTCTAAATAGAATCAGAAAAGTGTCGCAAAGTCCAATGGAATTCGGATAGAAACAAACTAATAGGTAACAAATGAAGAGCTAGAGGTCAAATTAAGAGAAATAAAACGAAAATCACATCATTCCCCATTGCAGGAAAAAAATTTAAATCTGACTATATGAAAAAGTAGCCGAATCAAAAACATACTGTATTCTCTTTTCATTTCATCGTCTATTCTAGAGAGCTCTCTATGAAAATCGAATTTTCGGTTGTGTCAAGAGGATGCACGGTCGTCAGTGTTTTGGATTCTCGGTGAATCTAAAGAAGTTTGACAATCTTGTCCCAATGGTCTAAGTCTAAAGCCGACGCCGGTTCGGAAGTAAAAGAAAGGAAACCTTTGAAAGTTGTGGCATCAATTTTCGCCTCTTCGATGAAGTAGAGTCCATGGGTCTTCTGGATGAAGACGGACCGCAGGAGAGATGTTCCAGTCCAGTCTCTAATACGAAGAATTTCTCTTCCTTTTTTTTATCAAAAATCAGTTGTAATTAGGTTATTAGCTTTTTTCGGAGCCACTGAAATTTTCATCTTGGAGGCAAGATCGGAATTACTGAGGACGTGACCGTTATCAAGGGTTATTGTGTGTTTAGAGTCAACTTAAACTTTCCCAATAAATGGTTTAAAATAAGGTTGGCATCGTTTTCAATTAACCGTCTTCTCAAACTGGTTACCTTCTTGGTCGAAGGAGTTCGACAGCGGGCCTCTTGATACGACAGAGGTTGCTCCCTCCGTTGATTCGCTTTCGTATCCTTTATTGTCAGGTTTTGAATCCTCTAAGCATCTGTCTTCGGTTTCAGAGTTTTCACCCCATTCTCGGATTCTTGCCTTTGACATGATCGGCTTCCCTTGTAGTTGAACAATTCATGAAAAGCGAGTTTTGGAGCATTTTCTAGGCCTAATGTATTTTTGTGTTTATAATATACCTAATAAGCCTAAATGGGGTCTGCGAACTCTCAGGGACTTATTTGCATGGCTCTGGTAAGGATCGCGCTTTGATGACTAGAATGATTTTTGATTTTTTTTTTCAAACTTAATAGTTTTTTTAAAATTCTAATGTATTTTTTTTGCTGTAAGGAAATTTGTTTTTTTTTATCGTTTCCAAAGGCGTTTTTTCCAACGAGTTTTTTATGAACAAAAATTTAAACTTGGCATCGAAAAAGAAAAAAGAGCCAAAGAGCATACAATAATAACAAAACGATGAAAGACTCTTCGGTTGCCAATTTGCTAATTCTAAAGAACTGGTCCAGCTGCTTCTCAGACAGAAAAAAAGCACTTGAGAAACTTGACGAGGCAGAACGCATTCTAGCAGACAACTTGATACCCAAAGGACACTATTGGTACGAGTTGGTACAAGACGAAAAAAGAAAGTGGCAGTTAGACAAAGAATAAAGCAAAACTAACAGAAAAGAATGATTTTTTTTGTTGAACGTTCAATCTGTTAAAACCAAGAAAAGCTCTGTTTTGTTATATCGAGAACAAGGAGTTAGTATAAAAAAGTTGCGGCACATAGCTTGAATAACTTGCAAAGATAGATAGGATATTACGCGTTTTATTTTTTCAATTATATTGACAGACACAAAATCAATGAGTATAAAAGTAATTTTGAAAGTTTGGATTAAAGTTTTGCCCAAAATTTTTGCCATTTCAGTTTGTAGTAAAAACGATTTTTTTCTTTTATACAAAATTGTATGGGGTAAAGTTTTTTCCAAATTTCAAAAACAAACTGCTCCACTTCTAGTGAAGTTTTCAACGTGTTCTTGTCAACATAATATCAGAAAACGAGGTTAAAGTTTCAATTTTGTTCGTTTTGAGAGGCTTTTTTTTATATCAGCACCGTAATAACTAATCATTTTCTTTGAGACCCTAACTAATATCTAATGACAAGCAAGGCTGCTTGTATATCAGGGCAAAGCCCTGCATGTTCCGTTTGCCCCTTAGTTGATCTCGAATAAATTTTGCCTAATAAAATTTTGATGAATTACCAGTTTTGGACAGCCAATATTAGTGCTAAGATTTGAGTCAAATTGAAAGAACCAGCAGAACTGCTCGTATATCAGAGCAAAGCAATGTTCCGACTGCAATTGGGGCTAATTGAAAAGTTTTTTGGTTGAATGATTGACAAAATAATTGAGAAAAAGTTTTTTTTCATCTTTTCTTCAGTTTATCACCCCGCAAGTTATGTAAAATACTAATCGTGTATTTAGCGTCTCGTATTGTGATAAGATGGTTAGATTGATGGCCTTACTTCAATTTGGAACGCGTTAATTCGCTTCTTACATGTGTTATAAGTACGCAATATATCGCACTTTAATTATCCAAAATGGGCCAAATGAGAATTTTTCAAGCGCCAGTCACTCTACAAAAAATGATCACAGGTAAAATATCTTTTTGAAATTTAGCTTAAGATAACAATTTATCTCAGATGGTACATAGAAATTCTGTCAGAAATACTTAGTTAACAAGTCGAAAATTGACTGAATAAAAAAACTATACCTAACGTAAATATTCCTCACTTTCTTCGGGAATGTCCAATTGTATTTAGTCTAATAGCAAGCATACTCGCATTGAAGTCCGATCGATACCCACGCAAATTCAACTTTTATACAATTCTTGATATTAAAAAAATTACCTAAGACTTTTTTTTTAGGTCGACCAAATTGATTTTCCGAGCTCTTCTAAAGCACTAAAAGGTCCCTGTTTTTGCCAATTTTTCTGCGCCGCAGGCAAATTTTTCAAAAAAAAAAACAGGTCAAAAAAGCCGTTTTTTGGCACTTTTTGAAAAATTTTGACAAAAAATCGCGTTTTTTTGGCGCGCACTCCCCCTCAATTTTAGTATATATTGGCGCCGAAGGCGCCTTTAGAAAAATTTTAGGGTCGGTCGGCAAAAAATGGATTTCTTAAAAAGTACCAAAGGGGGGACCCTTTGGGTCGGCAGGGGGTCGAATCCCTGAGGGGGGGGGGGGGGGCGTCCGCCAACCCCCCCCCCCCTCCCCCCGCCCCCTTCCCCTAAATCCGCCCCTGATTTCAATATAGTGGAGTAAAAAATCATGGTTGGTCTTATGAATATGCCGAAACCCCCCAGTGTTAAATGTAACCTGCAGCACGACCACGGAACAACCCTCATCCCCTGTAGAGCTAACGGCGTATCAGCCTACTAATTCAGACACTTTAATCACCATAATTGTTTATTTATCAAAAATGTACATTTGAGTGAAATGGAAATCCGAGAAAAGATTTTGCGAGTAAGTTTGGTTGTAATTGTAGATGAGCACTTGATCCAGGTCCTGCTGGGAGTCGAACTGCTGACAGCTGCGTCTGGACTGCTGGACAAAGTAGTCCCCAAGGTATTGTGAGACAGAGGCTCCGTCGAAGTTGTGAGCGAGGGCCGAGGAATAGTCGGGTGCCCACTCGAACAGGTTCTTCTCGGGGTGAAACTGGTAGCCGATGAAGGGAAGGCTGAAAATAAAAAACAAGGCGGGCAGTTCAAAACGAAATCATCGTCCAGTTATATAATCAGTATTTTCAGATTGAGTGTGACAGTCAATAAGCTACGCCTTTTGATTTTTATTTATAAGTAGAAATTTCAGTAAAATTTTTTTCAAGTTTTCCGCGCAAAAAGCATTTCTTACTTGGCACTCAAAAAGCATTCAAAAATTTAGCTGGAAAAATGATACCCTTCCCAAATACTCTTCCCAAAAGAATTAATATTTTAAAAACAAAAGCGTAAACCCAAATCTTTAAAAAAAAGAAGGGCGCCTTTGGCGCTTACATATGATAGCTCCTAAAATTGAGTGACAGCGCGTGCCGAAAAAAATCGCTTTCATCAAAATGGCTGAGCCAACAAAAGTTCGACAAAACCGCTGACTTCTATACTGACACTTAGCAATAAAACTCACTTCTTTCCTTCCACTAGAGACACAAACTTCAATCCCGCTCTGTCTTTCCCATAAGCCACAACTTCAAACGCCTCTTGCAGCTCCTCATTGGCCCAATACGTCTCACTTAGCAGACTGAAGTCATGGAAGTTAGGGGCTATCGGCTTACTTTCCATCGTTTCAATGAGCCATCCAGGCGCCCACTGGAGCAGTCGACTGTTGAGGAGTCCGTACGAGGAGATCTCGATAGGAGAGAGAAGTTTGCTACTGTCGGTATGACTCATCACTTTCTGGCCGGCTCCCAAAGTGACCAGTTCTTCGAAACCTGAAATAACAGAAGTTTCATCAAGGTAAGACCAAACTGCTGGTAAAATTGTTTTGAGTAAACGAATCTCAGCAATTATAAATGAACCCAAAGACCTTGGCAAGATTGTTTTCACAGAACTTGGGATAAGATGACAAGCATGGTAATTATACCTCACCTAGACAGATGCCAAGTATGGGAAATATCTCCCCGTTCTCGTTAAACACAGTCTCCGAGTAGTTCATGGCTCTAAGGGCGAAGTCATGGTAGCTGCCATTGTATAAGGACACATCTCCCCCAGGTAACAATATCCCATTCAGTCTCTCGAGGAGGTAGTCATAATAATCTGCAGTGCGGTTGGGCAGAATTGGAACCACCTAGAACCACCAAAAACTAATTGCACTATTTGTTAGCTATCTCTCTTGTCATGTTCTAACTTTACTTTTTTCTAACTTTACAATTTGACCTTTTGTTATGGCACTTCAGATTTCTGCTATTTACAGAAAAACTTATGCAGGTTTGAAAACTTCTCATTCATTTGGCGTTGTGGCGTATCCGGTAGCGATGGTGCCCATCAATCATGGCTGTGGCTTCAAATCGCACGTTCTAAGGCGAGCGCTAGCAGGATAGCCGTAGCTTAATGGTCTCATCATGATCAACTGAGCTCTCGTTCATTTTTACTTAGTTAACCTCCAGGTGAGGCCTCCAAGCTGGTTGACTCAAAATCAATTTCACATTTCGAAAATGTTTTGGTTCTGCAGTCTTTTCTTAAGGTCTCCCGGGTTGACCTCCATACACCGAAAATGCTTATCATACAATTCCATACAGCAAGTGTATGGAAAAAATGCTTGTCATACAATTTTCATACAATTTTGAAAAATGGTAGAAGAAAGGTTTAAACTAATTTCTGCGGCTGTTTGATTCTAATAAAACAGTCGGGTGATGAAAAAATTGAGGTTTTTGTTTTTTGAAAAAAACACTCATCATACAATTCCCATATATGGAAATTGTATGATAAGCAATTTTTTCATTATTGATAAAGTTTTCAGAAATCTTTTGAAAAGGTTTTTTAAGAAGCTGCACATAATAGAAAAGCGGTTTTGACAAGCAACGTTTTACAGATGAAAAAATAATGATCTGAGGTGCTTGTAAAGTTTAATTTTCGGCCTGAAGTCCTTTCGGCTTGAAGTTCCGTCGGCTTGTTGTCCTAGACCCCAAGTTGAGATCCTCCAACCCAGCGCTGAATTTCAATTAAATTTGTGTAGCACTGCATGTAAGACGCTCGATTCTGATTGGCGGAAAGTTCCCAGCTTAGAACCAAGCTAACATCCTCCCCCTAAACGTGTTTAGGGGGAGAATGTTAACTTGGTCCTTTTGCACAGTCTATTTGGCACCCAAAACCGGAATGAGGGATTTGGACAAGGGGTCGCTTGTTTTATTGTTCTTTAAACTTGCTAGTACTCATAGCTAAGCTTAAATTAATCGCTACCTGTGCCGCGAACATCTCGACAAACTTGACATAGCTAGATGCAATATAGTTGGCCGAATCAGGATACCCGTCTTCATTAAGAGCTTGTGACAAGATTCCAATGACGGGCAGGTCGTTTTCACATTCAGCCGCGAGAGGGCGTACTGAAGTTACGCATGCCACAGCTAACCAAAGAATGAAAATAATCATAACCCCAAATTTCAAAAATCGCTATTCAAAGTAGAGTATTATCAAACTAACTCGACTTTAAGTTACTTTTTGAAAATAAATGTTTACCAAAGTAATAAATGAAGTTCAGTAATGCGAGTTCAATTAGGCCGGATATTTGAACATTGTAAACTCAATTTGTAATTTCAGTAAAAAGTCAGTGAGTTCAATTTGAAAAATGATCACCTATTTTGTCAAAATGATGAGTTTGTTTGTCTAATAAAGTTTGAATGCAATCACTTATCACCAAGCGGTAGATTAAATAAACTATGCAACTGCTAGTTGAATTACCCTCAGGGGTATTTATGGGCGTTTATTTATCTACAAACAGTAAATTCAACTTCAAAATGGTGTTAATTGGCTTTGTGGTTCAGGCAATAAATCTTGTCAGTTCCTTTATAATACCCATAATTTTTTCTAATTTTTCACAAACAAATAACTTCATCACTTTTTTTTGGAAAAAAACTGGGATAGAAATAGGGATTGTTATCAACTTTAAATTTTAATATTTTGCCTAATTTTGATAATACAGCAAAGATAGCCGGTAAAGACGGACAAAATGATCCAATCAGAGTAACCGAATTAAATTTATTGTAAAGAAATCGAAAATTTATATGAGCTTGTTTTTAAATTTTTGTGCTTTTTATTAAGGTAGTGCCAGGTTATCGAATTAGATGAAAAACTATAAAAATATATTTATAGCTGATTTTAAATAGTTATTACAAAACAATTAATAGAATTAACCATTTAACTATTTCTCTACTCCTCCATGTAAATTAAACCGAACAAAGGAAAATGTTTGACCATTTTCTCTCGACACAGAGCGAACTTTGCTTTTGAAGATTCCGAATGGTTTATGATTTCATACTGAATTGATTTATGATAGCGTCCTGAACCCCCTAAACATTACTAGAGGCTAAACATTAAGAGAGCTAATTTAAGGAAGTCAAGCTGATTTCTATAAAAAGCGCACAGATTTAGGCGTTTATGATAGTGAAATCATGAGACAAGTCTATACAACAGGTCAAAAATTGTGAGTGAAATCCGCTCAACCAAATTATTGCGGAGTTCACAGGCAAGTAACATTTCATATCAAATTTGTCAACACATACAGTGTGTTGCGGAATCCGCAACGAGCGAGAACGAGAAATTGAGCAGAAAATATCCACCGTACGTCATAGTACCTTCTTGGAAGTTAAGTTGCGATAAAAAAAGTATTTTATTTTTTATTATTATTTTTTGATTATTATTTTTTGATTATTATTGTTTTTTGTTTCATTAGGCTTTCTGGTTGTCTAACTTGAATTCTCATGTTTGTAATCAGCCAAAACAGAATTGAATACTTTAAAACTGAAAATATTTTTTCTATCAAAGTAAGAAATGATGTCAGAAAAAGTAAATAAAAAGAATGTTTGAGGAGCTACATGTATAACAGGTTCTAAAACTTCTAACTAAATTATAAGATCTGAACATTACAGTGAAACAGTTAGAAATTTCATTGAAAAAAGTTTGAAATAATTTATTCTTTAGGAGAAGAGACACGACTCAAGCGTCTCAAAACAAAGCAAAAAAGGTTTATCAACGTCAAGAACTGATTATTTGACATACGCAAAAGCTATTCAATGTTCTGGCTAAATTTGACACAGAAATTTTATCGAAATTTATCGATTTGAATGAATCAAACTGGGGTAAATTTTTGCACAACTTAGGACACAATTATTTAGTTGATTCGGAACTAACATGTGTTTTTCCGGTACACATATTGTTTTTTGATCGGTTGCTCAAGTGAGCCACTGTTTGAATTAGAAAAAATTTCTATGAGCCTTGCTGCCTGATAGGTCTTCATTATCTGATTCTGTTTGAAAAATGTTTTTGCTCCGAACTTTGATTTTTTATATCATTTTTTCTGGTTTCTTTTATATGATCAGAAATTCAAAATATCAGAGGGAAACATTTTTCACAATCAAATTTAATTTTGTCGGAAAGTTGGTTCTCAAGAATTGGAAAGTTTGTTTTAACGTTTGCGACGCTTTAAACAGGCTGCATATCCTTCAGTGTCCGCTGTAACTGAACATAAAAAACAGTAACATTTTATCTATTTTTGAGCATTCTGTAAAAAAAAAATACTTGCCGACTAAAACCCCAGAGTTTTTAAATATGTTAAAAAGTAGTTTCAAAAGTTTTGAAATGGCTGAAAAATTTTTTTTTCTTTCCAGAACTCTTATCAGGTTTTATGAAGATTTGTATACAAACAAAAGTCAAGCAACTTCAGCAAAAAATGTAACGGAATCAACGTGCTATACAAGTTCACGTTTCTTTTTGAATGCTTACATTGATTGAAAAAATCAATAATGCAAATACTTTTTATAATGTCCAAAATAACAAATAATCCAGGTGATTCATTGCATGCGCAAAATTTGCAAGCTGTCCAAAATCAATTAATCCCAAAACAAGTTTGTGTGCTGTAAGTTCTTAAGGTCAAACTAAATGTTTTTTGAGCTTATACAAAATACTGGAACCTGATCTAAACTATATTTTATGATTGGATAAATTAGATATTTTACCACTGTAAAGTATTTAATATTAACCGATCATGATCCATCTAACTAACAACCAACTTATTTGTAAGTGCTGAAATTACTTGTAATTTCAGCACCAGAGAGATTTGAATTTAACTTAGAAATTAGTTGTCTCTCCCAGAGAACTTCAGCAGCCGCAACAAGCCAGTATACCCTAGATCTATTGAGCCTAGCAGAGACTAGTTAAACACCCTGAGACTAGAAAGTATAAGAGTAAGATTGGGATCGGTATTAGACTAAGAAGTTGCACGAATCTATCCGGCCGAAAATAAGATAGCGTGACGAGCAGACGGTGTGCCCTATCCGAAATTACTCTATGAGTTAACCACATCGGTCTTAACTCATCTGGTGCGACCATAACTCTCGAATAAGACCTTAATAGCTTAGAATTAACAAAAAATAGACTAGAATTTAGACAAAACATTTTCAAAATGTTATACGATAATAATTTAATCGAAAGGTCTCTACGACTCAATAGATCAGAGCCGATATTCCGAACGATAATAGAACTACCCGGAATTGGAAGAAGACCTCGAACAAGAGACGACATACGACAAAGTAGAAACCTACCAAAATGTTTTATGATCGTACGGCAAAAGCCAACACAAACTTTTATATTTAGAATCTTATTAGCAATGAATTTAGATTTTCATCTGCAAACATAAAATTTTGAAGTCAATCTTCATGATCATTTCAGGCGCTAAACAAAATTATTAATATACAAAAACGATTGATAAAAAGATCTCAGATCGTTTTCTTAATTTCTGCAGTTTTATATAAAACATGTTTGAAAAATATTTATTGAAAATGAAAATAAAAATTAGTAGCATGACAATAAATTGTAAGTAATCATAAAATCATCTGTTGTCCCAGCTTCATCACCTAAACATAACAGCAATCATAAGCTCACTAATATCATTAAAAGACTAAATCTTTTTCTTAAATAAATTTAAACCAAATTAAACTTATATTCACTTAATTTTAAAATTAGATCATCAAGACTTATCCTTGGATCTCAATAAATTTTCTATTTCACTAAATTTAAAACCTGATCATCAACCTGATCTTGCGTTCTAATTATACCCGAACCATGTGGATCGATTTACTATTCTCCAACCCTCGAACACAATCACTACCCCTAAGTAAGATTAAGTAAGTTAACACCTTCGCTTAGACTAGCCACGAGAATGTAAAAAATCATTCCTCGGAATTGATATACTTTTCTCTCCAACCCTATATAAAAAGACCCAGGATAAGCTAACCAAAAAATCGTAAGGACTAACAGTCTAAGAAAATAGAAATACCTAACAATTTTTTGCATCCCTCATCCTAAACCTTATGTCATTCAAATATCTAGGAAATAAACAAACAATCGTTTTACACAACTGTGAGATAGATAACAAAAAATACGATCTTGTCATCACACCTCATACACAAACAGTTGGATACATTAGAACAAAACGACAAACAATAAAAAGAAAAATTATAAACAAACAAAGACAAATCACACGAAAAAGATTTTCAAAAAATAGAAACGCATTTTCAGAATCAGAAGCCAGCAATTTAAGTGAACTCTACAAATTAAAAGAATCAATTGATAAAAATTGTCCCATTCACGATCAATTATATTTTTCCGATTCAGAAACAACTTCAAATTCATCAAAAAGAGGAAAAAGAAGAATAAAAAAGCAATACAAACACAAACCAGTATTAACAGTCATATATTAACAGTCATCAAACGAAAAAATGAGCCACACTCAAAGTGACGATAGTCCAGATGACGAAGAGGTTTACCCCTTCCTCATAGATGCACCGGATAATAGAGGGCAACATGATTTTTGCAAGAATTTACTCGTAAATTTGTTTGAACTTGGAATCAGTCCATGCAAAGCCGAATTCCCAGATGTAAAAATCAAAAGACAAATTATTAAACATTATTTGAAAGATATATGTAACTTAACATAACAATATGGAATCTACACCATAGAATTCAGCACACCAAATACGAATCATCGTAAATACGTAATTCAAACAGATGATCTTGAATTAGAATTTTCAAAAGTATTCTTAGAATATATCAAAAGCATACAATATCATAATTCACAAAGAGCAAACTCTATATTCACTAATGAAGTTTTTGCAATAATATATACCTATATCTCTATATTAGAAAAAACAGAATTTCAAAGTATCTCACCAACTGAAACATCCAAACATACAAAAGTACGACATGAAATCACATGATTTTCAATTTTTCTACATATAATCAAAGAAAATTTCACTAAAGACGATGTTTCACAACACACAAAACATGACTTACAAAAATTTTTGGCATGGTTTATAATAGATTATTTCACACATAATTTAGACTTAATTTCACAAGCAAGAAAAAATTTTAGACCTCAAAATCCAAATGATGATACTGCCATTACAGAACAATCAGACTAGGTTTGGGACCCTGAATGGTCTCATCCTACATTTATAAATATCCCACAATCTATCTCAAGTCAAGCAATAAGTACAATATCTTACCACAGAGATTATGTAAAAGTAGTACCACTAACCATTGATGCAACACCATTAAACTACAATACATTTTTACCTGATACACGAAATAACAGTTTAAATTCGACCGTCATACACAATGAAAACCTTAATGGATCCAGAAATCTTACACAAAAAGATATTCAAACACCATCACACTTCATAAATGAAGAAATTGTCCAAACAACAACAAATACACAACAAAGTATTTCACCAATACATCCAAATTTAACAACACCAAGAAATACAAATACTTCACTGGCACAAGTAACCTTACAATCAACCGTTAAACCTTCGGTTGCTCCAAAATATTCACATGTGGATTATCAAACATATAGACCCATGACAGTACCATCAAAACCACGAAAAACGTTCACAAGAAACACTTTTGCAGAACACAATTATAATTATGCACATTCGTCAAAAACAAACTACCCCCACGAAAAAATAATAATCATGTATGTTCTCACTATTGGGATAACCCAATGACAACAACCAACCCAGTAAATTTTCGAACTAATTCACATCCTCCACAGGATCATAGTGAAAATTACCCATTCTTTCAACAAAATAAAAATAAAAAGCAAGCACCTCATCATACGGATTACTTATCATCTGATGATGATTATTTACAACCAGACACTTTTGCACCAAATACCCAAGAATATCGCACACAAGGATCGCGATGACCTCATACATATAATAGAATTTTTTCTCCAAACCCAACAGATACACGAAATCAACAACCAATACATACGCCAAATCCAACTAATAAACAATCTTTTCAACCGATTCAACCACAAAACCCAATGACTATGCACTCGTATCAACCAACTCAAATGCAAAATGAAATACTACTTCCATATTATCTTCAGCAACACGAAATAACAAAAATCAACTTTCAAATTTTTCGCAAATACCAAATGCCGCAGAATCACTACAAATGACAATGAATCCATACCTCATGGGTGGATCATCAATAACATAAAATAAACCACTGATGGTATTTACAGGAACAGATCCTGAATATTCTGTAGAAGATTATTTAAATGCAGTAACAGCAAATTTAATTTTAAATATAGGACCTGAACCAATTATTACGCCACTACATCAAAATTGGATACATAGACGCACAGCATTGATACAAACAACCTTAGATGGCGCAGCTCAAAAATGGTTTTCAGTATTACCTATAGAAATAAAATCAGACTGGAAAAAATTTACACAAGAATTTTCAAAAATGTTTGACTCCGAAAGAAATAAACAACACCAAAGAGTTTTATGTAATGAAATTCGCAGATTACCAAATGAAACCATCAAACAATTAGCTGTACGTATCGAAACACTAGTTCGAAAAGCATACTCACTTAATACACATGACTATAAAAACACAAAAATGACAGAAATTTTAATGATGACCTTAACACCTCAATTAAGGAAAATAGCAATAAAAAAGAGAGCATCTCATCCTTCCTCAATTTGAGAGCCAGATTTAGATTTTCGAAAACTAGTAGACAAACTAGAGCAAACGGAAATCACAATGAAACTTGAAGAAACAGAAAATCTAAAACTACAATATGTTAATCGAATTGAAACAAACACTACACATATAAATAACATACAGGAATCAGATACAGACCTAGTTGAAAAAATCACTGAAATACTAAATATTTATGAAAAACACCCAAATTTTAAAGGCAAACCATCTTTCAAAAAATGGTGAAATTATTGCCGACGATACGGACACAGTATTTCCGAATGAAGACAAAAACAACAAGATAACCAAAACAAACCTCAAAAGCATAAAGAACCAAATAAATCGTTCTATCAATATTTGAAAAAAGATCAAAATCTACCAAACAAAAATATATATAGTAACAACAGTTCAGGAAAACCACTTCCGAACAACACCAATTACACAAGAAATCAATCACCATATAACTCAAGTTATAGAGCAAGATCACCAGAACAAAGAAATACACAGAATTCTTCACAAAATAATTATAATTGATCAAATAGTCGAAATAACTATTCGAGATCAATTTCCAATGCAAAACAATTTGTTTCTAGATCCAGTTCCCAATCAAACCAAAGAAATAAACACTATTCCAATAATCAATCACGAAACTCATCATACAACAGAAATAGAAATTATTCACATAAACGAAATAGAAGTTATTCGAACAATCGAAATCAGAATTACCCGAACAATGGATCAAGAAATAATTCATATAATAGATCAAACTATCACAGATCAAATGACAATTATCAAAACAGATCACGGAATAATTCACAAAATCGAAATTCAAGTTATAATAATCAATATAGAAATTATTCCCAGTCACCACATAGGACTAATAACCATTATAATAATTCTAAACATCGATACAGAAGTAGTACACCAAAACATCAAATTTACAATCAACAACGGAAACACCTGAAACGACTATCAGGAAATATATATAATTTTTCAAAAAAACAAGTTCACCATTATAATAAAAGTCAAAATAAACAACAACTTTTTATGTCAGACTTCGAATTTAAACCTATTCACAAATTTTTCAAATTTACAATCTCATCCATAAAATATTCGAAAAACACGAATTCCGACGTCCTTTCGTTACACGTGTATAACAATACACCATATCAAGTAACATTACCCTTAGGACTTTTAGGATATTGTGAAACAAATGCTACAATTTCACCTATAAATGAAGTAGCCTACCGCGTTAATAATATACACCAATTATTAGATATTTGCCAAACCACAATTCTTGACGAAGAATTATCCATAAATAATTTAATAAGTAATGAAAAAAAACACAGATTACTTCACAAAAACACCATATTTTAAACCAACATTCAATATAACAAATTACACAAAAGAACAACAACAATTTTTAACGATGTTTAACTTTGAACACTCACAAATTACACAAATCGAATTTGACAAACTAGCAAAACAACTATTAAAATATTCAACAGTCTACGCAACATCAAAATTTGATGTTGGGAAAATCAGTTCATCACTACATCTCCCGTTAAAACCTGACGCAGTTTTCAAAAAACAAAGAGCTAGTAAAGTACCAATTCATTTACATGACAAAGTAAACAGATTACTTTATATTTTAGAACAATACAAAATTATCTCACCAGTAAATAAAGAAGAACAACCAAAAGGTAACACATTTATTAACCCTGTTATCATCCTAGCAAAAGGAGAATCATTAAAAATAGTTTTAGACGCTAGATACCTCAATTCACTAATAGACGAATCGAAATGCAATTGGCCTATTGAACCAATACAAGTTATTTTAACAAAAATAAACGGAAAATACTTTACAACCGCAGATATGAATAGTGCATAAAATCAAATGCCACTAGATGAACAATCACGACGTTTAACACAATTTGTTATTGGAAATCAACAATATGAATTCAACCGCCTATTCTATAGAATTTTCATAGAACCAGCAGCATTTTCAGCTTTTATGAGCAAAATTTTTAGACCACTAATACTCAGGAAAAACGCAATCACCTATTTAGACGATGTTTTTATGCAATCACAGACAAAAGAAGAAATGTTTACAGTTTTAGAACACTATCATAAAATACTTCAGAACGAAAATCTGAAGGCCGCCACCGATAAATCACACTTCTTTTTAACACGAGTTAAATTTTTAGGACATAATATAGAAAGAAACACAATCACTCCATTAAAATCACGCATTGATGCTATTCAAAAACTCCAACCACCAACAAACAAAAAGAAAATCCAAGAATTCCTTGGAATGTTAAATTTCTTAAGCAAGTACGTTTATAAAATGCAATTATATTTAAGACCGTTCTATAATATCCTCAGACAACAAAATAATTTTGAATGGACCACTGAACATCAAACACGATTTGAAGAAATTAAACAAGTTCTAACTGAACAAATTTCAAACACAATTCCAGATCCAAGTCAACCATTCTATGCAATGTGCGATGCTTCAAATTTTGGCATGGGCGCAGCATTACTACAATCACACAGTGGTACAAATAAAATGAACCTTATATCAGCAAATTCCCGATTATTCACTCAAGCAGAGCTACGACTCTCAACTCTAATGAGAGAATGTACCGCTATAATTTATACACTTACAGAATATGAATTTCTGATACTTGGATCAAAACATCCAACAGTTCTATTCACAGATCATAAACCAATCATTTTTCTCTTTACAAAAAAGTCAAATCCCAATCACCGAGTTTATAGATTTCAATTAATTCTAATGAAATTTCCAAACTTACATATAGTTTGGACAGCAGGAAAGAATCTTGCATTACCAGATACATTAAGTCGACATACACCACCTGAATTACTTACACGAAAAACTACAGTTGAAATACCCAAAAATATGAAATTTTACCTTGCAAAAGACGAAACATCACCCCGACTAGAATGCAAATATGCAGTAAAAACTGACATTGAACAATCACAAATAAATAACCTACAACATTTCCCACTTTACTTAGATTGCCAAAATAATCACTACGAAGTTGATCTACTAGGAACATCAACTTTCAAACTAATTCCATACTCACATTGGATAAAAATTAACACCCAAAAAAAACGAATAAAACACCACTCGCATAAAAAAGACCTTTTTCGGTTAATTGAAAAAGAAAATTTAACTGATAAAATAAATTTATCAGGACCACAAACAAATGATTCAAAATACACAATAAATCAAATCTTTGACCTCCATGACCCACTTGACACAATTCCCCTATCTCAATTAGAAATAGAAAATATTTTTCTCCCTCCAACAGATAAAATTACAATTGAAATCTTGAAACAATATCAAAAACTTGACCCAGTAATTAGACAACTAAAATCATGGCACAAATACAAAACTAAGCCCGTAAAGGCAGATACCAGAATTTTAGGAAATAATACATTCCTCCGATATTTCCGAAAATTTATTAATACAACAATTAATGAAAACACAGACCTTCTAGAATATCAATTAAATGACTCTACAGTTCCCTGTCTCCCTTTAAGTATGATTCTAATAGCTTTTAACATTTCACATACACAAAACACTAAAGGACACTCTGGATCAGAGAAAACATATTCAAATTTTACACAAAATGTTTATTTCCCAAATGCACCAATATGGATAAAGGTACTATGCAATGATTGTATAGTATGTCAGCTAAATAAACCTTATCCAAATCAAAAACAAATAGCACAAAAACAAGATTTTAAAGGACAAAGTTTATATTTTAACCATCGTATTTCATTCGATACAAAAGGACCAATTTCACCATCCTCTGAAGGAAACTCCTACATTATGGTAATTGTTGATGCATTTACACATTATGTAGCACTCAACCCAGTACCACATTGTAACGCTTATTATGCTTACACAACACTTTATGAACAGTGGATAGCTAAATTCGGATTACCCGAAATCTTAGTTACAGACAACGGTACGGAATTCATAAATAATGAAATCATCACACTATGTCACTTATATAACATCAGACACAAACCGCGTACATCTCATGCACCTTGGACAAACGGTTTAGTTGAAGGTATGAACCGTTCACTACAAGAATATCGTAGATGTATCATAAATGGAAATGATACAAGATACACAGAATGGTCAGCAAATGTAAAATTATTTCCCTTAGCATATATTTCACAAATTACGACAACTCTAGGAATGTCACCATACGAAATGGTTTTTAATCAAAAGCCACGTAAACCAATTATGTTTACAGCAAACTCTCATAAAAATGCACAAGGTCATTGCCAACCAAATAAAGACTCAGTTTGTTATAACCTACCTTTACACACGCATGATGAAGATCATTTTCATCACCCACAAATCCTTAAATTAGCCTCCGGTACACACACCGAATGGATTTTAAATAGAGATAAAGAACATAATGAAATTTACCAAAGAATAACAAAAAAAATTGTTACAAAGGCAAAACATTAACGAACAAATTAATTCACGCTTTACACCAGCCTCAGATTTATAAATTGGAACATTTGTCTTAATACCTAATTTTAATACACAAAAAGGAATTTCTAAAAAATTACAACCCCACGGCAAAGGACCATACCAAATAATTGCCAAACCCACTGACGTAACATATAAGATCACCGATTCAGACCAAAAAGAAATTGTTCAACATCGAAACAATCTATTGCCTTACTACCCAAAAGAATACGCACTACGCGAATTAACTCAATTATATTCTTTCACAGGTTTAAAAGTTATTCAAAATCACCCACATACGGAAAATGAAATAAATGAACAAAACAACATTCACCTTGAAAAACAAAATAAAAAAACCAACTACAACCCAAAACAATACAAAAAAGCTAGATCAAAAAATACCTCAAAAAGAAAGGAAAAATAGAAAAATGATAGAAAAAATTATACCACAAGAACAAGTCGAGAAATCACAACATAGAGAATCATCACGACTTAGAAATCAACCACGTAAAAACTACAAAACATTCATCCCACACTCTAAAATATTTTTAAAAGTTGAATTTCAAAAACAGCTTTAATTTTAAAATTAATAATCTTTGCACCTCTGAATCATTTTGAACTTTAATTTTTCAAAATAACATGCTGACAAACACGCAACGATTCTAGTTCAAAATTAGCCAATAGGATTCATTCAATCCGTCACCTTCTATAACTATAACACAAACCAATTAGACGAAAGATATTAAACTCCAGGCATGTCTATAACTATAACTTTACAACCTCCAGGTCAAAAAAAAAGCAAACCACTCAAACTTGACAACTAAAATAAATACCACCATAATATCATAACCCTCCCTTATCTAATAACGCAAAGATCAACAATATTTTCCCAACTTAGACCTCAAAAACCCCCCAACCAAAAATGATAAATTAGCCTAAAGTAAAAATACGACCATATTAATTTAGCCTAAAGTACAAAAATCTCAAAAATACCCCAGATCACCTGACAAATAAAAATAAAGCAAAGAAGACCTCCCAAACACCATAAAATTCGCCCCCAACAATTTTTCACAAAACTCAACCCACTTGTCAAAAAATCAATAGATAATTCAACCACACTTGAAAATCGCCCCAAACAACAAAAAACATTCGACCAAGAAGCCATTTCTTAAATGCTCTTCTCTCGATCTGTCAATACAATTTTCAACATTTTCATAAACTTTTTAACAATACTTAAACTTTTATTCATATTTCTCTTTGATACTTTTGAAGCTTTTATAATATTTTTTTAATCATTTTTTGCAATATTTTTTTAATTTTCTATTCCCTATTTGAAATATATCTCCAACTTTCCCAAATCATTGACCATATTCACAGGTACGATAACCCAAAGTTTATTTAAATGATACGAACCATTTTTAGTAGAACAGATATTTTTTTACTATTTGTAATTTTTATAACATTTTTATCATCCCTAATATTGACAGTATGTAAATGTATAAAAAAGGCAATCATAACATTCGCCTTAGCAACAATCCTTTTAATTCTTTTCCTTGAAGAATACTACAATAAACATAAATTTTTTCACTAAGAAAAATCAATCAGACAACCTTCAAAAATTGCTAACCAACAATCACACAGTCAGTCTTCACCGACATCATCCCAAGAAAACCCGACAATACCTACAACTACCCAAAACTCCCAAACATCCACACGAATTTCTTTCCAAGATAACCCATACACTTTTGAAGAACGACACGCTCGCTTATCTGAACCATTAGAACCAGTTCAGCGACAGGCACCCCTAAGTGAA